AAACCGTGTCCGCCGCATACTTTTTTTCGGCTAGAATTGTTTTTTCCGCCGAATGCGCTGGGTTTTGCTTCGCGCGGAAACTCTTCGCGACGCATCGACGACCAGCGCGTTTTCTCCGCCGAGAACCTGCCTGGAACAGCACAGCGCCCGCTCGGCAGGTTAGCGTGAGGTCGCGTTGAACAACGCGTGGGTTACTCCCACCACCTGTTCGCCCTGAGACGTTTCGCCGGCGTGGAAGAGTAGACCAAGTAAACCCTCTACGGGGGGGGGGGGCTCTCTGAAGCCACCCTCTGAAGCGAAGTCGCGTGGCCGGCGACGGCACGAGGAAGAAATTTAGAGCAGCTGCAAATTTTATAGTTAAAAAAAACAATTTATATTTCAGAACAACGGCTCGCTTACCTTTTTAAATTAAATATTCAAATGCACGGCAACAACTCCCGAGGGAGGGCACAAGCCGGAGAAAATTAGCGAACGCGTACGGTCAAACGGAAGTGCGTCGTCTGTGCACGATGATGATGATGACGACGATGTTAAAGACGTTAGCAAGAAGTGGAAATGGCAAGCGCTGTACACGAGTCGGGGAGTGAGGGTGCTGGAGTGGTCTATTGTCAGAATTGCCTGCTCAAAGTAATCGGAATATAGCAAATGGGAGCGTATTGATATAGAATAACATCCCAAGGCTACCCGTTTAACCTCTTATTAGATTCATAGTACTTAACCTATTATCGCATTTATGGTATTTCACCTCTTACCCGTTCGGGTTGCAACGTTACCAAAGCCCTCCGCGTGCCTTGAAATGCGAGCGGGAGAATTGGATCAAGAAAAAAAAACGGAAGGCAGGCAAGGGGGTCCTTTCGGTCGAGAGAGTTTGAGGGCTCAAGTCAACGAGACACGAACCAACGCTTGACAACACGAATGATGTGTGGGTTCCAGACGCCATTTGCACTTTTAACAGAGCACAGTCAACCTGACACAACGAGATACCCTTTATTCGCGTTACTTATTTAAAAAAAATATATATTAAACCGCTGTTCAAAAATACAAATAAACACATCATTTTTCTTCTTTTCGATTTAAAGCTTTCGTGACTGCAGGGATTCATCTTCTTGGTTCTTTCGGTAAAGTCACGTAGAAATAAATAAGTAAAATAATAAAAATAAATATAAAACATAATAAAATAATTCTCACGACGTTTCGGCCACAACGCAAGTAGCCGTCTTCAGGTGAAGAACAGGTCTGTCAAGGAGACAGAATCTGAATGACTTATTATGTTTTATTTTTATGATTTTATTTATTTATTTCTACGTGACTTTACCAAAAGAACCAAGAAGATTTTTCTTCTTGTCGTAGAGCAGCGACTACAAGTTGACATCGTGGTGGTCGAGACAGCCAAAATCCGTAGCTGTCAACCCATACGGTTCAGCCCGTGTTCTTGCACAGGGAAATTGAGTTTTCAGGTCCATAAGGCGTACAGCCGTTTCACTACGGGCAACTTTTTTGTTAAATATCCATTTCTTTGTGTTTCTCACCTTGTGATGGGACTTTGTGGGATGAACGTTGAGATTTATAAGTGGCACGGCATCACCAACAGGTGTCTGAATTGGTCTGTAATAAGTTAGGGGTGCTGATAAGGGATGGGCGATCACCAACGTGAGCTTGCCAGGTGTTGTAGGTTGTGGCTGTGCAAATGACAGGCAGGGCCAGCGCCTCCGTCTGCGTGCCCGTCAAGTGAACCGCTCACCTCGCGGTGAGTTGGTATGTGCCGTGCGTTGAACTTATTTCGCACCGTACGTAGCCAGCCGTGCACGTCGGAGGTGCGGGAGATCATGAATGCCGGGTGCTTCGAAAAAATGTTTACACGTACATGGGACTATCGTTTTTAATGGAAAAAGAACGGATGATAATAATACACAGTGACATATTCTTTGGGTCTTTTGGTAAAGTCACGTAGATAGGATTCAAAGAAAATGACAAAAACTACGACGCTTCGATCGCAACACAAGCTTTCGTCCTGAAGACGACCGCTTGTGTTGCAATCGAAACGACATAATTTTTTATTTTCTTTGGAGCTATCTACGCGACTTCACCGAAAGACCCAAAGACTATGAATTCCTGCAGTCACGAAAGCTTTAAGTCAAGATGTACACTGTAACATGACAACAAATGTCATGTTAATATCTTCCAAGAGTCTCCACTTGTTCGCCATCATTGTCAACACGTGCCTGGAATCTCCTCCAGGTGATCTCCAGAGCCCGGAGGCACAAACATTTCTTGTGGTGTTGTTGCAAATTCTCAGAGGTGTTCACATTTCTTTTTGAAGCACCCTGTACATGTAACGTGCTGCACACAAGCAACTCGAGTGGCCGAGTGGCGCCACGGGCTCGCCAGTGGCCGTGTCAGGGCACTGACCCGGCATGGCCTGAGGTCTCTCTCTCTCCAAGGGACAACGTTTAGAACGCGGGATATAATTGTGTGTGCCGCTTCATCCTCATCCGTTGTACGATTGGAGTAAACGGGTCTCGCGGTGCGTGGCGGGCTCTGGCAAATGGTAGAGCTGATGAACAGAACTGGGTACACTGAATTATTAGGTCAAGGGTTCAGAATTTTGACCTCTTAAACTTCCGAACGACTCCTTGGGCTGTGACGCGACCCAGCGGCAGCGCCACGGTGGCTAGGAGATGTTGACTACCTCGCCTGGTATACAGGAGGTCGTGGGTTCGATCCCGACCCTGACGCCTGCTGTATATTTCGAGTTTGTGGTGTCTCTCTATCATCATCATCACTGTGGCTAGGAGATGTTAACTACTTCGCCTGCTATACAGGAGGTCGTGGGTGCGATCCCGACCCTGACGCCTGCTGCATATTTGGAGTTTGCGTATCTCTCTCTCCCTGTTGTCACGTGGATTTTTCTCCAGGTCCTCCGGTTATTCCCTCCACGTTTAGAATCAACACGCGTTCATGGTATTTGGCTGCACTGCTATAAATGTCCATATGATAAGCCACTAAGTTGAGCTATCGTTTGTGGCCAGGCCACTTCTGAAAAATTGCTTCATAGCTCAGTGCGGTCTTACCTGGTAGAAAAAAAAATAGCTTAGTTTAGGTTCACAGTTTGAATCCAACGGCCCACCCTGGTTATTCCTGCGGGGTGTAATAAAAAAAACCGTGATAATACGTGCCGTTTGGTGCCCAGTGGGTGTTAAAGCTCTCTTAACCTCATATGTAAAAGTTGGCTACTTCACGCCAGGGTCGTGGTTTCAAAATTTGACAAACCACGACGCGCAAAGTAGCCTACTCAGTGGGGATCAGACGTCGCTAATTATCGCCCCCCACTACTGCGAAAAACTTGGCAGGACCTCCCTGGGTAAAACAAGTGTAATAATAAGTAATAGTGCAGTAAAAAAAATTACTTAAAACTTTCATGACTGCAGGAATTCATATTCTTGGTTCTTTCGGTAAAGTCACGTAGATAGAAAATACAAGTAGAATTTAAATTGAAAATAAATAAAGAATAAAAGCAAAAAACCCACGACGTTTCGATCGCAACACAAGCGGTGTTCATCAACAACAAAAAACTCAACGTTTGAAATGAAAATATTTCACCCGGATTGTCAGGCGCCTGATGAAGACTACTTGCGTTGCGATGGAAACGTCGTGGTTTTTTTGTTCAATTTAATTTTCTTTCTGCGTGACTTCACCGAAAGAACCAAGAATACTAGTGCGGTAGTCCCTCGGTTAAGAGTGACATCGGTTCACGGCTTATCGGTTGATGTTTCGCTTCCCATAGGATCCCATGGTTTCGACTTACCTTCACATTTTTCACTCACGGTACGTTTACGTTGTCCACGCGGGCGCCAATTTCGGCCAATCCGAGGGCTCGTAAGTGGGGCTGAGCCGTGCCCTCAGCCAATCAGCGACGTCCATTTATGACCATTTAGACCGCTGCTGGTTTTGTTTCCATTATACGCTTTCCGTTTTGGCAGTGGAAACAGCCCTCGTGACTGCAGGGATTCATCTTCTTGGTTCTTTCGGTAAAGTCACGTAGAAGGGAAATAATAAAATAATAATAAAAATATTTAATAAAACATAATAAAATAAAAATTCTCACGACAGCGTCCTAACGCTGTCTTTCCGACAGCTCTGTTTCTTCACCTGAGGACGGCTGCTTGTGTTGTGGCCGAAACGTCGTGAGATTTTTTATTTATTTTTATTTTATTTTTCTATTTCCCTTCTACGTGACTTTACCGAAAGAACCAAGAAGAGGAAACAGCCCTCTTGCAGACTCGCTTATTTTTTTAAACTTTTTTTTCAACTTATAAGTGAATTCGATGAACAGTTATTTCACCTCCCAGTTGTTTTCGTGGAACGGATTAATCACGTTAACCGAGGAACTGCCGTACATTAGTCTCGTGTTGAGATGGGCAGTGTCCACACGACTGCGATTTAACTATTGAATCTCATCACATTTGCAATTTGTAGTGGACATACAAATCAGACACCTCCGAGTGAAGTAGTCGGTCATCTAAAGCGTTAAAAAAACTCAACGTTTTTAAGGAAAACATTTCACCCGGATAGTCCCTTTGCAGGGGGCTTGCATCCGTGGCAGTTGCCGACTCGCCCTCCCGCAGCGAACGCGTGGGGACGACTCACACGTACGTCGAAAAACTCGAAGCGGCGTGCGGTTTAGACGGTGAATGTCGCACGCGGCCCAACGCCTAAATACATCCGTGAACAGTTCAATGGTGCACCCTGTCGTTTCACGTACTACGCTCTCCCTTAGCTGGAGCGGTTGCAGATGTTGCGCAAGTGAGTTTCGAATTGGTAATTTCTGTCTGTATTACGCGACATTATTCCAGCAATGTGTATGTATTTTGCCCATCTTTGGCCCACAGCGCAGTGACGATGCAGATTAGCCCACATCCATATATTATGCGTGTGTGTGTACGTGCGTACACGTGAGAGGATTATTGTGACGTTGTTTTGTTTCCTTTCACACCTTGCAGTTAGGCACAGATCGGAAAACTGGAGCCCTCTGCACAGACGGGGAGAGCAGCGTCGTGCAGTCGATTCGGGCGGACCCTTGCAGGATGGACATCAAGGGTCCTTCGCACAGGTGTGAGCCTCGCACACGCACCACGAGGGGTCCTTCCTAGAGGTGTGAGCCTCACACTCGCACCCCGAGGGCTCCTTCCCACAGGTGTGAGCCTCACACTCGCACCACGTGGGGTCCTTCTATCAGGTGTGAGCCTCACACTCGCACCACGAGGGGTCCTTCCCATAGGTGTGAGCCTCACACTCGCACTACGAGGGCTCCTTCTATCAGGTGTGAGACTCACACTCGCACCACGAGGGGTCCTTCCTAGAGGTGTGAGTCTCACACTCGCACCACGAGGGCTCCTTCCTACAGGTGTGAGCCTCACACTCGCACCACGAGGGCTCCTTCCTACAGATGTGAGCCTCACACTCGCACCACGAGGGCTCCTTCCTACAGGTGTGAGCCTCACACTCGCACCACGAGGGGTCCTTCCTACAGATGTGAGCCTCACACTCACACCACGTGGGTCCTTCTATCAGGTGTGAGACTCACACTCGCACCACGAGGGCTCTTTCCCACAGGTGTGAGCCTCACACTCGCACCACGAGGGCTCCTTCCCACAGGTGTGAGCCTCACACTCGCACCACGTGGGGTCCTTTCCACAGGTGTGAGCCTCACACTCGCACCACGAGGGCTCCTTCCCACAGGTGTGAGCCTCACACTCGCACCACGTGGGGTCCTTTCCACAGGTGTGAGCCTCACACTCGCACCACGGAGGGCTCCTTCCCACAGGTGTGAGCCTCACACTCGCACCACAAGGGGTCCTTCCCACAGGTGTGAGCCTCGCACACGCACCCCGAGGGGTCCTTCTATCAGGTGTGAGCCTCACACTCGCACCACGAGGGCTCCTTCCCACAGGTGTGAGCCTCGCACACGCACCCCGAGGGGTCCTTCTATCAGGTGTGAGCCTCACACTCGCACCACGTGGGTTCCTTCCCACAGGTGTGAGCCTCACACTCGCACCACGAGGGATCCTTCCCACAGCTGTGAGCCTCACACTCGCACCACGAGGGCTCTTTCCTACAGGTGTGAGCCTCACACTCGCACCACGAGGGCTCCTTCTATCAGGTGTGAGTCTCACACTTGCACCACGAGGGCTCCTTCCCACAGCTGTGAGCCTCACACTCGCACCACGAGGGGTCCTTCTCTCAAGTGTGAGCCTCACACTCGCACCACGAGGGCTCCTTCTATCAGGTGTGAGCCTCACACTCGCACCACAAGGGCTCCTTCCTACAGGTGTGAGCCTCACACTCGCACCACGAGGGCTCCTTCTATCAGGTGTGAGCCTCACACTCGCACCACGAGGGTTCCTTCTCTCAAGTGTGAGCCTCACACTCGCACCCCGAGGGCTCCTTCCCACAGGTGTGAGCCTCACGCTCGCACCACGAGGGCTCCTTCCCACAGCTGTGAGCCTCACACTCACACGCCGAGTCCGAGCGGCGAGTCACGATGAGGGAGCGCGTGGGGATTGGGGGTTGGAGGCAGGGCCACAGCCACGGACAAAGACGGTCACTGCATCGCGCCCCTTCAGATGCGCTTCTGCGGCCGTCTGGAACGGCTCTTTCTTACCACATTAGGACGACACGGGAGGCTATGCCACTTGTAAATCTCGATTGAGAACTCATTTCTTTTAGAACTGCTTTTTGTGTTTAGTTTGTTGTCCTTCCCCCGCTCCTCCGATCAGCGCGGTTGGCTACATACGGTGCGAAAGAAGTTCAACACACATAGAAACATACGGCTAAGAGACACCCACACCATTTACACCCTTGGTCCAGACAAATACAAAGATCCCCCTTGTAACCCTTAACAGAATGTTGGGGCAAGTGCCTTCAGCGAGCACCTATGAAGGTTGACACGGCACACGAGGGGGTGGTGTGACCAGCACCACCCTCGGGCCGCCTTTGTCTTCCCGGTGCTGATGTTTACACACCGCACCAGGTACTCATTTGAAGGCCGAGTCGACCTAGGGGTAGCCTAGGACTGGTTCAGATAATCGTCACTGGTGTTGGCTGTGAGCGGGAATCGAACTCGGGTCGCCGGGTTCATAGCGCAGGGCGCTAACCGCTACACTACCGCTTCTCCCAACACACACACACGTGGTCAACACACAACACGTGGTCAGCACACACACACACACACGTTCAACACATACATTTACACAGGCAGCTCACACATTCATTTTATTTTTATTCTTAAGAAAACAACCGAATAAACCGCTCAAAGTGTTAAAAATATATATATAAAACTTAAAATAGCGACTAAATTGAGTCACTTCCTCGAACCGGACCTGGGCCGCGAGGGCTCCTAAGGACACTTTCTTCAACTCTCGTGCGTGAACTTTTGGCTTCGGTGCCCTCGGTGTGAGTGCTTGGAGGACCCTGGGTGTTTCAGACTGGTCACTTGCCAACCGCGGCTGAAAGCGTGAGCTCCGTCCGTGCGTCCGTCTTGTCAGTAGCGGGGAGGGGTTTGGGGGGAGGGGTGTGGCGTGTGGATCACGATAAACGCTCGTATAGATGATTCAATACCACAATACCACCTGCAAGTCGTGTTTCTGTTAGGAGATAACCCGAGCGAAAACCGGGCACATTGATCACTGGGATTTCCAGAATTTGGCGATTAAAGCCATCACTTAGCGGATAAGCCTTGTCGACCAAGGTGATGATGTCACACGTCATGACCGGCATTGACAGCGGCCTCGACATAAGACACTTCCAGCCTTGGCCTCACTGTGTCCTTGTGGGTCCTGGCCTTGGCCTCACTGTGGCCTTGTGGGTCCCAGCCTTGGCCTCAGTGTGGCCTTGTGGGTCCCAGCCATGGCCTCACTGTGTCCTTGTGGGTCCTGGCCTTGGCCTCACTGTGGCCTTGTGGGTCCCAGCCTTGGCCTCACTGTGGCCTTGTGGGTCCCGGCCTTGGCCTCACTGTGGCCTTGTGGGTCCCGGCCTTGGCCTCACTGTGGCCTTCTGGGTCCCAGCCATGGCCTCACTGTGGCCTTGTGGGTCCCGGCCTTGGCCTCACTGTGGCCTTGTGGGTCCCAGCCATGGCCTCACTGTGGCCTTCTGGGTCCCAGCCTTGGCCTGACCATGGCCTTGTGGGTCCCGGCCTTGGCCTCACTGTGGCCTTGTGGGTCCCGGCCTTGGCCTCACAGTGGCCTTGTGGGTCCCAGGCTTGACCTGGCCATGACCTTGTGGGTCCTAACCTCGGGCTCATTGTGGCAGAGTGTCAATCAACTGCTGGATGAGAGCCCTCAACGTGTTCGGTTTCAATCGCCTAGCCGACAACCCTGATCACCAGTGTCGCCGTGGGACGTGATCTATCTGCTGCTGAATGCAAGTCATTGCCATCGCTCGTAGCCCTGTGATTCGGCAATCCATCGAGCTCCCGGCTCACGAGCTGATTTTATTGCTCCGTCTCCGCGGTGGATGTACGCGCCGGCGTGTTCTTTCTTTGGCAACCAAAAGAGGGGGAAAAAACACATGTATTGTTTAATAATGGGTCTCCATGGTTTGTCTGTGGGTCTCTACGTCATTGTGTACTGTTTTGCTGTACCTATTTAACCCCGGCTCTCCTAATTGGACTCTCACCTGATTGTAAAGGTCATCCATCTATTTACGTTTTTTTTGTTTATCTCTCGATCTATCTGTACACTTGCCAACCTGTCAATGTCAAAGTCTGTGTTGCTGACCACCATAACCAGCCGTGCATGAGTCTGTCTTGCCTCGCAAGAGGGTGTTTTGGCCTTACTCTTCCAGATTCTGATGATTTATTTGGACTGGAAGAGGAATTCCGATGAGCTGTGAAGTTATTTTTAAATCCTTTATATTAAGTTCACTTGCTTGCTTGCTTGCACGCTTACGACCGTGCAAATCTTTCGGTCGTTTTTTAACCTACTTCCCGTGATCCAATCGAGCTGACATTTTGCACACAGACTCGTTGTGCGTGACAATTTATTTTCTTTTTTTAGGAAAAAATAAGTTATATTTAATTACCAATTGCTTAATGGTGGCAGGAAATCATCTGACCCATAGGTGGCAGCCATTTCAAGCCAGAGGACGAGAGGACTCTAGCCGCCACGCATATAAAGGATTTATAGTGAAAAACTTTGTTTTTACGGGTTAATTTTTTTTCAGCGATGTCCAAAGTAGAGGCACGGGGGTCGGTTTGAAGAGGTGGGAACCCCCACGCACAACCCCGGCAAATGCAACTTCTCACCGGAGTAACATGGTTATACTGCTGGATGGACGCAAGGTGGTGGGGTGGAGGATTTCCGAAACTTGCCCCATTGACTCAACTGCCACGCCGGGAAGATTGACCTCGCCGCGGTGAACCCGGTGACCCCAGTCTGATTCATGGCCACGGATTGCATCAGTGGCGAGCGATTGCTGAACCAGTGCTGATTCTCCCGCTCCCCCCCCGCCCACCATAACCAACCCGCACGGACCAGTGCGGTAAAGTACGGTCAAGCGCGCCTTCCAATTGGCACGGTTGGCAACGTACGGCGTGCGAAAGCACGACATACATACAAACATGCATCCCCAATGACTCAACACCGCGTTGGCAGGCGGGTGGCCTTCATGCAACCCACCGTTGGCGAACAAAGAGATGGGAATTAATTATTGTCAGAGTGTAACTACTTCTGATACGCCTGTCTGGGTCATCGAAGCAGAAAATATGTCAGCATCCCTGGCCACCACGTCCAATGTAGCTCTCGCCCTGGCTGTAGTGATCGGGACGAGAGCCCAAGACACCAGGATGGAGGAGTCTCATTGGCAAGAGTCTCAGCTGGGTCACCGAAATGGACAAAAGTGAAACAAGTGAATGAAGTATAGCGACAGATGAAAGTGGAAATCGGAGCAATAAACAACTCGCGTCAAATCGGAATATCGGAAATATTGCATGAGCTATAAGTCGACGTTCGGCCGTAAATTCCCTGTAGTTGCAAGTCGGCTCGGGCATATTATTTCTATACTGACCATAGCACAATTACTAATGAGCGTAGGTCCTCGTGTCTGTCCGACGAC